GCGTCTTCAAGCAATTTGCCTGAGGGATATCTCGGTGTCTTCTGCATGCTACAAGGAATGCCAAGGTGGATCTCTCGGCGTCTTCACCTGTCGTCTGATGGGAATGCTCGTGCATGCATTCTGGGGCTGAACGTCTTCATCTCTGCATGCATGCAGAGTTATTTAACAGTTGAATATAATAATAGGAGTGCTCGGCGTCTTTAGTTAATAGGGTTACAGGGGCGTTTGATTTCCCGGCGTCTTAAGCTATACATGGAGAATATTTGGTTGCAGGTGGTCGTGATATCTCGGCGTCTTCTTCTTCCGAGATTCGTTCTGCATGCGCCTGTCTTCTTTGTGTCCGAAGCGTGAGATTCGTCTGAAACGTGAGATTCGTCTGAAGCAAGTTGGTTTACTCGAAGTCTTCAATTACTTGTTATAAGGGTGGGTATTGTATTTCATTGCATGCAGTTTGTTGTAACTTACAGAAGCAAGTGAGGGATTTTTTTTTTGCATTAGATTCAATTGAAGCTGCTGCTTGAAGTGATATTGGAGATTTTTGTTGGTTCGGTAATTTTTCGAGCTTTGGTTTAACGTCGTTCAAAAACATGTAAGTTCTTTCTCGTTTCCCATGCGAACTCTGTTTTTTTCGTGTTGAAAGAATGCTCATATATGTTAGGAGAATGATACATTTAAATTTTGTTCATGAGACCATAGTAATGTATTTAGAGTACTAATGATAATTTAAAATTAGAAAATGTAAGTTTGATGATTAGGTATACAGAAAATTTAAGTTTGAGTATTATTGTTAATTTAAATTTTCGTGTAATTTTTAGTTGTATTTTTATATAATAATTATTAGAATTTTTATTTTGATTTAGTGGGAAAAAATTCCCATTATGTAATCCTGATATTTTTACCGTAATAATAATGTATTTAAGTATTATTTTTATAAAACAATTGTTAACATAATTTATATTTATTTATAGTTTTGTAAATAATTAATTTTCATTACATTATTAATGTAATTTATTCTGAATATCTATATTTTTACGTGTAGAGAAATGAGCAACAAATTTTTCACGATTGTCCATTACAATGGACATATGATGGAAAATGAGGTCGGAGTTATTTTTCAGTCTGAAACACCTATAAATATGATGTTTAAAAGGGACATCACATTTGCAGAGATCAAGGAGAGGATAGAAAGAAAAATACGTGCTAAAGTTGATGGTTTGAGGTACAGATTTATGGTATGTCCCAATCCGGTCAGGTATGCTGCAGTACCACTTGAAGAAGACGATGATATTATAACTATGGTTGAATTACATGACTCAACAAATATTTCAATTATTGAGTTATTTGTTGAGTTGTGTAATATATCTAATGTGCCTGGGTCATCAATAAATGCGGTTGAAACTTCATCTCAAATGGGTTTCGAGAGTCATTTCGATAACCCAACATATAGGTCGATGAACAGCTTTGTGGCGATGTTGGAAAGCGCAAATGAAGTTGGTGGAACATCTGGAGCCGCAGAGTATGATGTTGAAAACCGCTGGGAAGAAATACTTGAAGATTCCAGTGAAGATGAAGAAACTGAGGAACCTCTTTTGGCTGAGGATGATGCCATGTTCCATGGTGATGAAGCTGATATCAATATTGATGAATATTTGACATCGTATGAACCTACCCCTCACATGCAGGAGATTGATTATGAAGCAATGAGGGCACCTGAATTCCCGGAGATGCCACATTTAACTTCAGGCTATATGATTGAATTGTCCGATAACTCTGGTGAATTAGCAGTTGGGAAGCAATACAGAGGAAAAAAAGAAGCTACACTAGCGATTAAAGAGTATTGCATAAGAGGCCATGTAGATTGCAAGACTGCAGAGTCCAACCAGAAAACTTTGTACGCAAAGTGTGTTAAATATGGGCCCGAGTGTAAATGGTTGATCAGAGTGTCCAAAATGCAGAGGCAAGATGCTTGGGTCATCACAAGGTACAATGGTCCACACACATGTTTGCAAAACTCTATCGAACAAGACCACCGACTACTGGACTCCGATGTAATTTGTCAATATGTGAAGGTTTTGGTTGAACAAAATCCAAGGATCCCTTGCTCGGTGTTAGCTGCATCTATTCGAGACCAGTTCGGATACAATGTAAAATACAAACATCGTGCATCCGCCGATTTCAGTCGTGTACGCATCATTAACAATTAATGATGCCTTGCACATCTCGCGATACAAGAATGCCAATATTGCTGATCCCCAACTATATTGACGGGGTCATAAAGAAGTTCTCCAAAAACGGAAGATATTGTATATGGACAAGATTACTAGATTTATCTGGCATCAAGATTCCGCCGATCAAACGTAATATATATGCTCGAGTTGCATATATAATGTCTCGCTCACTACATTGTGGATCGAGCTTAAACTCATTTTGCCAACCAGGATAATCTCAGCCGTGACCCTTTTGCTACATCTTTGTCTGGTACCTTCCCAAGGTAACGCTCACATATTGCAAACATGTCAAGATCTGTATTTCCAACCACTGCCATTCCATTTGTAGGAACCCCTAGTTGTAAAGCCACATCCTCCAAAGTGATCGTACATTCACCACATGGAAGATGAAAAGTATGAGTTTCTGGTCTCCACCTTTCAATTAATGCACTTATCAAACCGGGGATCAACCGAAATTCTCTTACAAAAGCACATCATAAAACCCACTGTTTTCAAATTATCAACAATACGTTGATCTGGCATCTCACAGTTGATAAGTCGAGGACGAAGGACTCGTTGTTCGTCATCCTGCAATTTAGTAGTCATTGTAATTAGAATTAATACACCGTTCTCAAATAAAAAAATAAGTCGATCATATTACCAGTTCTCCCAAATTACTCGAAATGTGTCGACCATCTAGCCTCAAAAGAACATTTTCTTCGGCCATGTTTCAACAAATCTAGACAAAAAAAATTAAATATTACACTCAATTATTACATTGTTTTATTCAAATAATCAATTGCATGTTATCTACTTTAATAAAAAAATAAACATCAAATATAAAATGATCCCTAATTACTATTTGCTTCTCAACATTTCAAACTTTGCAATTTAATCACTAAATTTATAAATTCTTTCAAATTTAACCAATTAAGCATATTAATACTAAATTCAAGCATAGTATACAAACTTTTTATAATTTACTCTAATTTCTTAAATTCCTCAAATTTTGCAAAACGATCCCTAATTACTATTTGGTTCTCAACATTTTCAAAGTTAGCAATTTAATCCATAAATTTTAAATTCTTTCTAATTTAACCAATTAAGCATACTAATACTAATTCCAGCATAGTATAGCAACTTTTAATAATTTACTCTTATTCCTTAAATTCCTTAAATTTTACAAAATGGTCCCTAAAACTTTACAATGTTCCAAAATGGTCCCAACCTTATTTCAAATTATGTAACAACATATAAATTATTATTTCAGAGTGTAACAACATATAATCACAAAATTAATAAACTTATGAAACTAAAATTATGAGATCAATATGAAACCATAAACCTTTAAAATAAGAATCAAATGAGATATAGGGCTTGAGTTTAAATTACCTCAGGCTATGCTTTGTGATCTTACTGCTGATCAATCTCCCTCTCAAGCTCTCACTGCTTCTGTAATTGTGAATTGCCTCAGCCCCAAACTCTCACATTGCCTCAGCCTCAGCCCGAGCATCTCTTATAAACACATTCGTAACTCATCCATATTTATTTGTTAAGAAGACGCCGAGCTATCCAGCTTTCCATGCAAAGACGCCGAGAAATCCTTACCTAAATGTAAAGAAGACGCCGAGAAATCCATCAGTTGCATGCCCCCCACATGCAGACGTGCAGCCTTGCAGGACCCAGGACCCGTGATTTCTCCTTGCAGAACCCGTGCTCTCTCCTTGCAGAACCCGTGATTCTCACGTCCAGTCCCATGCACAGCACTGAAGACGCCGAGAGTTCCTACGAAGAATCCAACTGAAGACGCCGAGAGATCATGCACAGCTCCCACGCTTCCACATCTGCTGAAGACGCCGGGATATCCAAGTTGAAGACGACGACAGCCTAAAGACGCCGAGCTTTCCAAAGAACCACATTAAGCACTGTATATTTCACCCCATTTGGGGAAATAATAGGCAAAGGGCATTAGTTGGGGAAAAAATATTCCCCACATGCATTATTCTGGCATTTTTGCCAGTCATTGGGTGGCATGCGACATATGGGTGGTAGGAGATGATCGACAGTTGGAATAAATAAGACTAAAATAAAAGATTTTAAGAGTTTGAGGTTTTATTTTTGATATTTTAGAGAAAAATTGGGATTTTTTTGAAAATAAAATATTTTTAAGTTTTTTCTAATTTTTTCCCCTAAAATTATCAAATTGTGATATGTGTCACTTAACGCGATCTTTTAACGGATGTTAGAACTGAGACATCTGAAGTAGTAACGTTTATAACATTAGGCCCTAAAGTGATAACGTTTGTAACGTTGGATATCAAGATAGTTAAAAAAATAATTTAAGCACATATTCGAGATTTTCAGTATAATTTGAGAACTTATTTGGTATTAAGCCATAATTATTCAACATTCTTATTATTTTTTATTATTTCCCTAAATAAGCTTATAATTGCAACTGTCCCCGAATCAATCGAATGAATCCTATTCATCCATGTGTACGCTCATCTCCCGCCATTGTGTAAAGTCCAGACTCCATAGTTACTATTATTTTGCTCTTTCCCCCACCACGGAAACAGAACCCTGTCTGTATATAAAATTCTTACAACGCATCCTTGGTTTATTCTCTCAACTTTTGTCTGAATTTCCAAGTTTTTCCGGACAACGGAACAACAAAAAACTATTAAAAAGAACACAAAAAGAAGAAACCGTAGGCAAAGACCGAAACCGAAACCGACCCACAATTAAATTCAACTCTTTTATTGTTTTATTTACTGCGAATTAAGTTACTCTCTGGAAGTTTCAGTCTATATGGTGTCTGTGAACCCCAACCCCGCTCCAGGGTTTTACTTTCTCGATCCCATGAATTTGGGTCTTCCTGAACTTAATTCTCTACCGCCTCGGTATACGGTGGAGCTCCCTCCTCCTCCTCCTCCGCAAACCTCCATGTCGACGTTCAGGGCTGATTCGGTTCATTTTGAGGACCCGGGAAAGAAGATCCGGAAGCCTTACACTATTACCAAGTCTAGAGAGAGCTGGACCGAGATGGAGCACGATAAGTTTGTTGAAGCTCTTCAATTGTAAGTGAATTCAATATATTTTATTTATTTTTTATTACGATTTTTCAGTTCGATTTTAGCTACTATTGGATTGAGTGAAGTGGGAGACGAAGTCAATTCCTTTTCTTAAAAAAAATGTTTTTGCTCCACTTTAATGGTCCTGTTTGATCGATGAAGTTATATATATATATATATATATATATATATATATATATATATATATATATATATGTTCATTGAATGCATAAAATTTACGCTTTAGATGCACATTTAGTGGCTCGTGAGGCTGATGTAGTTTTTATTGATAAATTTACCAACTTTTAGATTTGATCGTGATTGGAAGAAGATTGAAGCATTTGTTGGGTCCAAGACAGTAATCCAGGTAACTTAAAAGAAAATGTTATGATTTCTTCACCAGCTACTTGGCCATGTTTCACTGAATACTTAAATGGATGGTCTTGGCAGATCCGTAGCCATGCCCAAAAGTATTTCCTAAAGGCTCAGAAAAATGGGACAGCTGAACATGTGCCTCCCCCTCGGCCGAAAAGGAAAGCAGCTCATCCGTACCCACAAAAAGCACCGAAAAATAGTCAGTATAGGCCACCATTTCGGTATCATTGTATTCTTTTTCGATCAGTTATTGATCTTGAATTGACCCTCGGTAATGTCTGCATTTGTCGCAGTTGCCGTTGTGCCCCAATTCGCAGGACCATTTCAATCTTCATCTGCATTACTTGAATCTGGTTATACCTACAAACCAGATTCATCATCAGTGCTTGGAAATCCAATTCCTAAGCAGGCTTGGCCTTCCTGGAGTTATGACTCTGTGCCACCTGTCACTGTGTCCCAAGTGACTAAAGGTTTTAATTGTTCCTGCATTTTTTTGTGTCCTCTCGAATCTCAAAAGTGTAATAACATATGGATCTTGTATTGTTTTAGACGATGCTATATTTTCCGGACCAAATTTTGCACCCAACTCTTGTTATAGTAGTAGTAATGAAAGCATTTCGAGAACTTGGTCATGTGGCGGAACAATTGCCCGAGGGGATCATGGGAAGCAATCTAGAGGTTTGTATTTTTTATTTCCACTTTGAGCTTGATACTGACATCAATGAACCATGTTAATGTATTCTCGCACTGGAGTACTAGGAACACCATATAAACCAAAATCTTTCTTAATGTTCATATTTTTTTATTCACGTCATGGATTCTCCTTTAACTCATAAACTCTGCTCTCTATTTGATGCAGTCTTGCCAGATTTTTCTCAGGTGTACGCTTTCATTGGCAGTGTCTTTGACCCCAGTGCAAGCGGGCACTTGCAGAAGCTGAAGGAGATGGACCCGATAAATGTCGAAACAGTATGTCACCCAATATGACGTTAATATTCTGAAAAAGAAAAAAGAAATCTTGGTTGGGTGTGTGTTTGAGGTAGAGGATTCAATATTGCTTAAAAGCTTATGGTTAACTGAATGAGCGTTGTTTGGCTCTTTTTGCAGGTGGTAATGTTGACGAGGAACCTTGCTGCCAATTTGACGAGCCCCGAGTTTGAGGTTCATGTAAGTTCTTTTTCCTCATTTGCTCCTAAGACGGTATATGTCTAAACCATGCTCAAGAACGTATTTAAACTGATCACTTGTATAAATTAATGCAGAGGAGGTTGCTTTCGCTCTATGATGAGGGGTCCAAGGGTGTTAATCTCGGTAGCTCCTACAATGGCATTCGCACTTGCAAATCAGCGACTGCTATTCCAACTTCATAATAACTCCAGGCTGCGAGGAAAAAAAACTCGTAGCTGTCAGATGCGCTGGCACACATGCATGTATGCTTGACTATATGAATATGTGTGTCGTGTGAGGTGTAGATTCGATGTTTCGAGGACCTGGTAGCTTGTAGATACACGGACTTCTTTTTGATTTCGTGTGTATACACACACAGAAAGTGGTCAGCTAGAGGCTAATATCATTGTGTATAGAACGAGCTGTTGAGTTTTGCACTGTAAATTTTCTCAGGGTTCCTTTATGGTTTGATACACAAACTCTTTATGTTATTGGACTCATTTCCCAGTGCCTAACAGAATCAAATGTCATCCGCTTCAGTTTTCTATACACACTGCAATTCTTTTGCCCCTTCCAGTTGTCTATTTGGTTTACGTTTACATAGCTGAATTCACAATTTTCTTCTCTTTTTTGAATAGCAAGGCATGATTTAGTCTTGGAATTCGACCACTTTTCTCACATTGGTCCCTGAATTTTTTTGGGGGGACCATATTGGTCCCTGAATTAATATTATGTAATACAAATATGTCCATGCTAACATTGTTAGTTTATAATTATTGGTTCACATTAGTCTCTGAACTTGTTTGTTTTTATCCACATTAGTCCTAAGACTGGATTTTCAAACCTGGTGAGAGATGTAAAGGAGAGGGGAGTTGGGGTTTGATCAGGTTTGAAAGTTGGGTAGGGCTAGATCTGAGTTTGGACATAAAGAAAGAAATCGACACAGCAGCAAGGGGCAATTGCAACCAAAATGCCAATTTCAAGTGTGATAATGATCATTTTAATTATAGTGAGCCACAGTAATCCCCTCCAGAGTTATGAACTTCAAACCTATCCTCAATTCTCGAAGAGAAACAATCCTTTGGCAAAACTACAACCAAAAATCATTATCGATACTGAAAACCCATGTCTAGCTAGTGATCATACATCCCTTGGCCCTCACTATGGCCCGGTGCACTGAAAGGATCGATCTGCTTTGACTTCGACCTGAGTGCCTTCTCAATTAGCCTCTGCAATGGCTCTGGATGGTGGCTTCCACTGCCAACGTCATGGCCTGAAATATTGTACAGACAATATAGTACATATTATTAGCAAAGAAAATGTGAAATGTAAGCATTACGGTCTTGGTAGTTCACAAAACATGACAACCCACAACAGACTGCAGGCAATTATGTTTTTGTTTTTACCAGCAGCATTGAGGGATCATGGATGAGGTAAACTTTTGTTGTCGAGTCTATAAAGTTTTGACATGGTTAGATAAAACTTCTTAAATGGGTTAGGTTTTCCAAATTTGAAATTGGCAAAGATGAGAAAGAAACAAGACATTAAATGCTTTACCAGGAGGCATTCCAAGACTAGCAAAGTTGGGTTGGTGCTGACCGTGCCCTTGCCCCAGTTGAAAACTGTGCATCGGATTCAATTCCGGTAACAAACCAGTCATCTGATTATTTGAATGAGGTGGCGGTGGTTCAACACAAGAAAATCCCCGTTGCAAGTTGGGTGGAGGGAAGTTTCCAGGCATATGCATTCGTTGTAACATAGGATGATGAATTGGAGGATCAAATCCAGTTAGTCCACTGCCAGGATGATGAAGAGGACGAAGCAAACTTGCAGGAAATTGATGATTTGGTGGGGCATCATGATGGATGATTCCTTCTGGAGTCATGAACTTCATCTGAGAACTGGTGTTAGAAGGATGTGAACCTAATGAATGAAACAAATGACCTCCATAATTCAATTGAGGACGAAGGTGTGGAGAAGATGCTTGGATATTATGATTATGAAATAGAATATCTGGCTCCCTCATATCATAAGGACTGGTAAGAAAAGGTGGACCTTCTTTCCCTCCCAGAACAGGTCTTTCATCTTGGAAGACGACCTTTAAAGCTGCTAGTTTCTCAGCTACGTCAATCGGTGCCTCTTGGAAGGGCAATAGCTCTGGTTTTACACTACCAGCCATGAAATTCTGGAGCTTCACAGGATTCCTAACACCAAGCAAACTATCCTCTTCAGGAAGCCCAATTTCAGCAGATCCGTCAAAACCAAGTTTAGATTCAAATCCAGCTCGGAGATGTGACGAATGGCCTTCAATGCCATCAGAATTCATTTGTTCTCTTTGCATAAATGGTAGATTATTTTTTTCAAAATTAGCCCTGTTTGACCCGACATGATCGGCGGAAGGAAGAAGACTATCATCTCCGACATTAAGACGAATCCCGTTAGATTTAAATACATCAACTCTAGCAGACTCTATTGAGCCCATCTGAAGAGAAGCTGGTGCTCGAACTGATTGTAGTTCCTTCATGAAAGCGCTTCCAAAAAGTGCTTCAAGAGTTAGACTCTTCCCTGAACCAGAAGCATTTTCTGCATTTGTGTCTATTGAATTACAAGGTGCCATGTCAGCAGTTTGCACCCTTTCTGAAGACCTGACGTCATGATTGGCAGATGATACTTCAGTTTTTGTACTTGTTTTATCCTGTAACAATGAAAGAAGGTGCTGGGTTGCATGATTGTCGACGCTAACTTCTTTCTTCTCACATTCGGCATCTGGAATTTTCCATCTTTCAATAGCAGGAAGCAAACTCAGATCATTTTCTTTGCTTTCTGACAGAATTGACTTTTCAAGATCCTCGCATGTAAGGACAGCTGGAACTGCTGCTGAGTTGTTAACATCATTAATATTCCATGATTGCTCGGAGTTCAAAATTCCAGTCAATGTCAAATTTGATCTAACATGCTTGTCCGCAGGTTCAGAAATTTGAAATGGAAAGTTTGATACAACATGCTTACTAGCCATCCTATCATGGGAATCGCCTTTCTCACCACCCTGAATTAATGAGAGCAAGTCTTTTGGCTTGCCAGGGGAGAGATTATCTATTGGTTTCTTCTCTGCAAAGATAAGAACAAAGCAAGAATATTAGATCATAGTTTTACTTCAGAACTAAGCAGATTCACTTAAAGCCAGATTACTTGTAACAAGCGCCAACAAACCTTCATCAAGAAACAAATGAGTGAACTTAGAAGAATGGGAACTATCAAGGGACCATGTCACATCAGCATTGATATCATTAGGCTGAAGATCATGAGATAATAAAGTCATTAAATATTTCATCTAGGAAAACAAGAAGTGAAGGAATTAAAATAAAGTACCTAAAGAAAGACATGTAAATATGATGTATCACTTTAATTACATTAAGCAAGGGAATTAGAAGTGAACATTCAACTTAAGTGATTCATTGCAATGTCTTCTATATATGTGTTTGAATTTGAATATGTCCCAGAGCCAAAATAGTACCTCAGTGACATTAGTGGAGCCACCTCCATCTGCTATTACAGCACTGCCAAAAATGTCTAGAATTGAAGTTGAACCGTCTTGGAAGGTTTCAGTCAACATTTTATCTGCTAGCAACTTCTTGGAATCAAGTTCATTACCTCCATTGTTTCCTGGGGCTACAAAGACTTCTGAAAGACTGGAACTCTTGTATATAAGAGAATCCTTGCTAATGGTCTCATTAAATTTATCTGAAGCTGATGAGAAACTTAGAGCATTAGCACTCTTATTATTGTCTAAAAAGTGAATGTTTTTACTTTCAAGCCTCTGCTCACTCAAAGTTTCCTCTTCATGCTGTTTAGTCTGTTTTACCAAAAGATCATCAGAAACACCATTAAAGAGAAGGCTGCCTTTGGAATCTGAAAGGTTTCCCTCCATCTCAAAACTCCCAACCTATAGAAGCATAACAGAATATATTGCTAATCAAGTAACAGAAAAGAACACGTGATTAATATGAGATGCAATATCAGTCAATATAATTGAAACATGCTTTGTCCTAATAGCATCAGCTCTGAGTTACAAATATGAAATTTACAACTACTTAATGAAAACCACATGCAAGCAACAACCACAAGGTAATAATACCCAATCTTTCAGCACTCCTAACATAAAGGCCAAAACAAGGAACACAAACACGTCACTTCAAAGCAGAGCACAATGCAATAATCTTCCTTTTCAAAAAAATAAAATAAAAATAAATCAATAAATCATCTTTGTTATTGTGTGATGCTAGTGTACTATTTGTGTCCCATACAAACTACTATGTATAAGACAAGACGTCTTTTCCAGTCAAATTCAATGAATTTTAATTATATATGGCCAATTTCATTCAATATATATATATATATATATATGGCCAATTTCATGGGCTGATCTTATGTGATAAAATTGTTTCTCTCCCCAATCCAACCAGAATAACAGATAATTCAAAATTGCATCTATTCTTCAATTGATTCCCACCTTTATTCCTGTTATAACTACGGAAGCAGCCAGTACATGAAGATCAAATAGTTGGCTCAAGGTAGCAATTAAAGATCACGAGAATGGAAAAGGACAAAAACTTTGAAAACCAATGATTGACACTTGTAATCAAAATTACATGCCAAAAGCTAAAAAAAGAGATCATAATGGGTGTTAAATTCAGAAAACCAATGTAGTACTTACATGTGAAGAATGGGAGTGCATTGAAGTTTTGGCTCCAATATTCTTCTCCAAAATTGTGCTTGCAAAACCAGGTGGTACAAGTGGTCTGGAAGCAGGAGTTTGTACAGAAAGAAATGACTTTTCAGAAATATTTTTTGATGTTGGAATAGGTTCATCTGATTCCTTGCTTCTCTTTGCAAGTCCTTTATCATCTTTGGAGTCCACTAGCAATTCAGAAAAATTGAAGTCATCTTTACGCCTTTCAGGGTTAATCTTCTTCTCCTGGAATGCTCTTTGTTGTTCCTTCCTCCATGACTCAGAGGAAGCTAAGAGGGAAAGTCATCATACTTTAGCTTTTATTATTTGAAAACAAAACCAGAGAACTGAAAGAAGATAAAGTATAAACAAAATAAACTACAACCAGAAAAGAGTTCTCTAGACCAGAGAACCTACCTCTTCTTTTTCTTTCCTCTTCTGCTCTATCTTCACTAGTGCACTCAGTGGAGCCAAATGTTTCATCATTATATGAGTCATGAGTTTCCCTCCTTGAATGAGGTACAGCCTGGAAAGATATCAGCACATAAATGACATCTATTAAAACCGTATTTCAATTGCTACTGGATCGTCTCACAATTCCAGGCAGATACTATTTAAGCCGTATAATTTGAGATATATTTTTATGCTAACTTGAAAAAAAAAACAGCTATCATGATACCAGTCTCAATATTATCCGCAAATGATAATAAAAGCAAACAAGTACCTTATAAGGGCGGGGCTCATTACTTTTATTTAGATGGTATTGATCATTAGCTCGAAACTTTGGTGCAGAAGCTCCTGCTGTAAATCCAGATGGTCGAGGAAAAGAACCACTCCCCAGAAGCCCATCATTCTCAGGACCTTGCCAAGACCACCGGGATTGATTACCATGGCGTCTTCCGGGATCTATATATCATTGGAAACATTCAATTTCGACCATGATAGAATTTTTAGATGCTGTATGCAACACATAAATGAAGTGGATAAAAGCTCCAACTACAATAATGGTTTTACCAGACATCGTTGAGATTGAAGTGATAGAGTGAATTACCCACATGAATCAACAGAAAGTACAATGAACAAAGCCACAAAGTAGTCCATATAAACAGTAAACACAAAATAGTAGCACAGATAGAACAAAAGAACTATAAACATTACCAGAGTCCCAATCAGACTGGGTATCACTGTCTCTACCACTCTTTCCACTAGAGCGACTGTCCCGCCGTCCATGAATGCCCGGGGAATAGTTACCTGATTCCCCTCTTGTCGGCGGTGATGAACTACATTCATTTCGCCTGTAAGCTGCGAAGGTGCCAGGAATACTTTGCCGATCTTGCGATGTATCCTCAAATTCACTGTTCCAACCACATAATAACCAATGAATACCAACAGGATCTAAGTTTGGCTTCTTCATATTCATAACTTCATCAAGTGCATACTCCATGTCCATAAAAAAGAATCTCACCTCAAAATTGATTTATCAAGTCCCGGGGGTAACTTTTTGCAAACATCCAGATCACTCAATGACAGCAAAAAATCTCTAGTATATGAAATTCTAGATTTCCTGAATCATTAAAAAAAACAAATTGGTTATCAGCGTCACTCAACCGAAAACATCTGCAAAACATTAAACAAAAATTAATTATTCAGCAGAAAGAAGTGATTACTTTTGAGATTCCTTGCTGGTATCCGCATGCTGATCTAATGAATGTTGCTCTTCAATTTCTAAGCTCATTTCTACACAAATTTAAAGATGAGTATACACGAAATACTCCTCAACAGTTAAGCTCTAGCTGCCTCTCCTATTTACACAAAAACCGGCACATCCTGAATATACATGTCAGTCAAAACATGGGAGAAAACTAGGGTTTTGCTCTTTGCATTGAAAAACAAAATTGAAGAGGAGCTACTTGGATCGAAAAAAAATGTGTGAGGGGGAAGATAGAGAAAGAGTTAGGGTTTGGATCTGTAACATTTCTAATTTTTTTAGCTTTATTTTCCCCCTTCATTTTCAATTGATCGATGTAATAGAAAGAGAAAGCAAATTGCGTGTATTTTGGTTGAAGAGAGAAGTTTTTACTTTTTACTGTCAATAGGTACCGGTGACTGCCAATGCCCCTCTCTCTCTCTCTGGCAATTTAACATTTTTCAAATGTCAATTCGATTTATCTCTGATTTAAGATCTAAATATCTACATTGTTGATCGTCTAGGTTATTTATTCTCCTCCTTAAAAGGCCAAAGACTAGCTTCATCACTCGGTTTTGATTGTTGTAATAACTGTTCGATCTTACATCTTCTTTACATGCAAAAAAAAAAAAATAGTATTGTTATGCTTAAAAATCATATCTATCAAAACAAATGTAATTATCGATTTTATGTAATATATTGTTATATCGTATCTTTATAAGTTTTGTATTAAAGTTATATTCAAGATAATATATCTATATAATTATATAAATTAATATGTTAATCATCTATACTGTATATCATTTTTTTGAAAGACTATAATATATTTAAGAAAATAAAGAATTGGTGTGTTATACATCCGACACATTTTTTCTTTCAAAAATGAATTTTAGGTGGCGTTTGGTTCGCTGAAATCCCTTGGAATTAGGGGGGAATTGAAATCTAATTTCACCACTTTTCTATGTTTGGTTTAAGTTTTTAAAGGGGTAATTGAAATCCAATTAAATCAAGGGAGGGAAAGTAAATTACATCCATAACATGATGGAATTAAAATCATTTGGAGGAGGAAATATGAAATTTGAACATACTACCCTCATCAATATTTTGGTATTCGGGTCGGATTTTTTTTTTAAATTTTCAGGTTCGGGTCGGGGTTTTTTAAGTGTGATATTCGAGTCGGGTCGGGTTTTTTTAAAAAAATTCGGGATCGGGTTTGAATTTTTTTTTTAAAAAATCGAGTTCGGGTCGGGTTTTTTAAGTGTGATATTCGGGTTGGGTTCGGGTTTAGGGTGAAAATTACCCGACTCGACCCGAAAAAAATATAATTTTACCTTATATATTTAGAAATAATTATAATAATACACCTCTATATATAATTTTTTTCAATTAAGTCACTGTTTTATTGAATAAAAATATTTTTTTTATTTTGGGTCGAGTCGGGTTTCTAATTCATATATTCGGGTCGGGTGAAACTTTATTTCGGGTTCGGGTCAGGTCTGGTCTCGGGTGGAGGTTCCCTTGTTCTCGGGTCGGGTGCACCAAAAACCCGATCCAACCCGACCCATGACCATCCCTAATTGGGATAATTTTAACTTATGATATTTATTAATATGATTTTTATAATTTATTGAAATGAATAATCAATCAATAAAATAAAAATTTAATATTTTTAAAATTTTTATAATATATTACTACATGTAAGTTATAAAACAAACTAAAATTAAGCAAAAAAATAAGAAGGGCAATTTTATCATTTTACATTAATGAAATCAAATTCATCTGCGAACCTATATAATTGGATTTCAATTCAATTTCTTGTTAACCAAACATGTTTCAGATTCAGATTCCAATTCTTTCACATATTCCAATTCCCTTATAAATATTACAGCGAACCAAACGCTATCTTATGTTTTGACTAATGTTTTTTTGGGATCAGAAACCGGATGGTTATTTTCGGGTCGAACGCGGGTTTTAAAACCGTACCCGTATAGAGACCATTTATATAAATCGAAGAGACTAAAGACCGTAGCAGAAACCCTTCCTATCCTTCTGTCCCGATTTATCCCTTTGGATTCTGAATTCTTCATCGACACGACATGGCGTTTCCGTACATGGAAGCTGTTGTTGGTACGCTCTTCTTCCTTGTTTTCGTTTTAGCTTTGAATCCATTTCTTTTATTTCCAGATTTATATTCCTGCTAAAGCTTGTTGTTTTTCCGACACTATTTGTCCCGATATTAACATTTTCTTTTATTTCTTTTTTTTCCTGTTCGGGTTTAAATTATTAGATTTTTACGTTTTCACCAGGGCATCTTTCCTTATTCTTTTTTTTGTCTCACTACGAAGCGTTTTTTTTTCTGTTTATATATGATTTTGAATATATTAGTTAAAAAATATTTTTCCCAGTTTCAGTTATGTGCTTTCTTCGATCTGTAATGTTTGAAAATTCTAGGTTTTGAAGTTGGATTTTAAGCTTCTTTCAAGCTCCTTTCTTTCTTTTTTCCCATTTCACATGTATAGTTAAATTATGTTCATACTTTCCGTAAGTATCCTGTTTGTGATTGACGGAAGGGGTTGATCTACTAATTAGCTTGCAAGTTGAAGGTAACTGTGTAATCGTCATAATGAAGCTTTTCCTATGAAGGAATCAAAATATGTATTTGCATTTAAGCCATATTGAGGTGTTTTATGTTCTTTGGGCATATGGATGCTTTTGTAATTTTGGTCATGCTTATTTTGTTTGTATCAAGTCCTTAGAGTTTATCTTCCTGTTAATTCTTAAAACATTTGGAACAGCACTAAAAGTACAATTCCAAATGTTTAGACAGATCTTGTGTATAAGAGCTATGTTATTGTACCTAATATGTTATATGTATTGATAATATGTTATTGTACTTGATAATATTTCCGGTTAAATGATATAACATTACCGGTCAAAATTTTAACCGGTCACGCCGCTTTTTAGCCATTTTTTAACCTCTGCACAGCAGAACTACCCTGTTGGTGGAAACTGTTGGAACTGAATATAGCTTATTGGTTTTTGGGTCCAATGATTGTAAGATAAAGAACTTTCGATCTCTGCATAGTTGGTTCCTTTTCTTTTTCTGTTGTGAAAAGTACATGAGACAGATTGTGGGGTTTGTTAATCATTCAGTTATCAATGTTCTTAAAGAAAAGATTTTGCTCTTTATGCTTGCTCTGATTTGATGGTTCTGCCATTTAGAGTTTGTAATAGTGCTATGTGCTTTTTTCTCTCCCTGATTTACCCTCTATTATTTGCAGGTTTTATGATTTTAATGTACCTCTTTGAAAGTTATCTGGACTTGCGGCAACATGCTGCACTGAAATTGCCTACACTTCCAAAAACATTGGAAGGAGTAATCAGCCAAGAGAAATTTGAAAGGTCCCGAGCCTATAGTCTTGATAAGAGGTTGGTTTTGTTGTTTCTATTGATCATTTCCAAGATTACATCATCAGGGACCAATAAAGCTTTTTTTACTTGATCTGACATTATCTTTAATGCATCTCCCTTACTTTTCAGCCACTTCCATTTTGTTCATGAGTTTGTGACAATCTTGATAGACTCAGCAATTTTGTTCTTTGGCATACTGCCTTGGTTTTGGAAGGTGAGTTGTTTGGTGTTTAATTAGTGGATCCTTCTTTTTTGTTGATTTTCACTATCTTGTATATTTAATTGTTATTTATTGCAGAAATCAGGAAATTTCTTGCCTTTAGTTGGTCTAAATGAAGAGAATGAAATACTACATACTCTTTCATTTTTGGCTGGTGTTATGATATGGTCACAGGTGAACTCAGGATATTCCCTTGACTTCTGGATCCTTCCAAAAATCATCACTTTGAATAAGATAACATTGACCCTTTATTCTGTGATTTTATAATGCAGATCACTGACCTACCCTTTTCTCTTTATTCAACTTTTGTGATCGAGGCTCGTCATGGCTTCAATAAAGTTTGTATTCCTAATCACTAATTTCTTTGCTATACCATTTTGTTTCCTTGTTTATTCCCCCTAATTTCTTGGAACATTTGTTATCTTTAGATTACATTTATCTTTCTGTTCCTAACTATTTTCTTATTTCTTTGTCAGCAAACAATATGGTTATTCATTAGGGACCTTATCAAAGGAATGTTTCTTGCTATTGTACTTGGTCCACCTATTGTTTCTGCTATTATTTGGATAGTACAGGTAAAATTTGTGCACATTTCTAGCATTTGGTTTCTTTGGTAGAACGTTGCTAGTCCTTGCTATTGTAATCAAACAATTGTTGGCTTAACAACAAGATTTTACGTTCCTAATTATTCCCTAGTCCTTTTGCTATTATGTCATCCTTTTCTCACTATGTTGAATCTTAATTCTGAGATTGCAGAAAGGGGGTCCATATCTAGCTATCTATCTTTGGGGATTTATGTTTGTCCTTTCTCTTGTGATGATGACAATTTACCCCATTCTGATAGCACCACTCTTTAACAAGTTCACCCCTGTGAGTATTTCATAACCATTGTGTCATAGGTTCATTCAAGCGTCTTAGTTTTCCCGAATCTAATTATTTTTGTTTTGCTTGGTATGACTGTGGGAAATAGCTCCCTGACGGAGAGCTCAGGCTTAAGATTGAGAAGCTTGCTTCTTCCCTAAAATTTCCTTTAAAGAAATTGTTTGTTGTTGATGGATCTACAAGATCAAGCCATAGCAATGTAAGTATCATTGGTTGGTTCAATCGGTTGTGTTTGTAAACATTGTCATATTCTATCATTTAGGATTACATTTTGCCTTTCTTCTACAAAACCATTTATGTAAAGCTTTGAACTGATATAGTGATAGTTATGGAATAATGAATTGTTTAATGTGGTGGATGGCATTGTGAACAACTGAACTAGCCAACTGTGCCTGTTTTCAGTTTGATAATATTCGTTACTTATTCACATCAAGACTGATTGCAGAAATGACTTTTCATCGCACTTATGATTTAATGTTTTCAATGTCATGCAGGCCTATATGTATGGATTCTTTAAGAACAAGCGTATTGTCCTTTATGACACATTGATTCAGCAGGTATGGAAGATCTAATACTAAGTAAAAGTTTCTTCATCTCTTATAGTTGTCGTTTCATTTTTTAAGATTTTTTTTGTATTGAGCAAAGAATAGATGGAAACGTGCATGTTTTTATGCAGTGGAAGAGTTGGTATTATTGTTTGTGTGCTTTGATCACTGCCTTCAATTCGTTGTGAGACACATGACAGTGACTTGTGATGCTGATTTTTTATTGAATCAATTAGTCTTCATTTTACCTTGTAATGCTGATTTGTATTGAAGCTATTTTCTGTGATTATAAAGTGAATCAATATCCCCGTCTTCT